TTCCTGCTGCAACCAGAAACTTTGCTGTCGATGGTTTTGTTCCGAAGCCTCATTAGACTTTTCAAAAGATGAAACTGGCAATGGCTTCTGAATCAGACCAAACTGGTTCTTGTTTTTGTACCGGAAAAGGGCAAAGAGACATGGCGACATGGCTCATTTCTGTCAGTATGTCCAAATGGAACTTTTCTGCAAAAGGATCTTGTGTTTCACAGAAACAGAAAAAGAAATGGATGAAACATAATCCTTACCATAAAGATCACAAAGTACATCTCTCTCTCTGGTTTTGATAAATAATATGCAACGAGAATGGATTTGCACAAGAACAATGATTCACCCTACACCGAGTTCATGTATATGCACGTATGTATGGACAACACATTCTCATATTTTGATCTTCATGCTCATCGTCGCGGGAAAGCTACCATGGTAACATGGAGAAAACCATTTTTTTAGTGTTCTTTCTGTTTCTTGATGGTCTCCATTGATATCTGCAGCAATGGAATAAGCATGAATGAACAGTTTCATCTACACGAGCAACAAAAAAACACACACAGAAGTCTCTGTTCTTTCGATCGATAAACGTCAGATACGAAGAAGTAAAACCTGAGAAGATGATTTACCAGAAGGAGATCTTCATCCGTGCCAAACGATTTCCGGGCATTTTCCAGGCATTTTGCTGAGATCCTCTCTTGTTTCCTGCAAGAAATCTCCATCAGTTCTCCAGGCAATTTGGAATATTACAACAGAACTGATGTACACTTACCATATTAGCTAATGCATGAATGGCGAAAACTAACTGTAATAAAATTGCAGAAGGATACACCAAAGGAACTGAATCTACCAAGAACTTGAAGCCATGAGAATAAGAAGAACATTACTTAGAACTTGCGGGATCTCTGATCTCGAACTCATCTTTATCAGTGTCATAACCACATATCACGACATAGTGACCTACAGAAAAAGATGAAGGCATATATTGTGCAAGAACATATGTGTAGATCAAGAAAAAGGGCAATGAATTCTTCACCAAAGATGGGATTTCTACAACATAATGAAGGGGTTGAGCCAATTCAAACCAGTAGGGGTGAACAATTCAATATAAAAAATGAATGATTTTAGTTTTTCTAAAACCAAAATAACCAAACCGAAACCTGAAATGCCAACCCCTACTAACCAGTGTAGCTGGAACTGTCGGAATGAATGCCAGAGACAATAACTTCCTCCAGCCAAGACTTGCTGTGAAAAGAGAAGACGCTACATCAAGTTCTTTGCCATGCTTCTTCTTCCACAAACCCAAGGAAACAAAATTTGACAGGAAAATATTTGAGAAGAGGTAAAAATACAAAAGGAAAAGAATATACCTTAGCTTGTATTGATCGACTAATGCAATGGCAATGAATTTCCCCGACAATATCAAACCAGAAATTTCATGGATACTAACGGATCTGCACTGCAGAAAGGAAGGGGTTGATTGGTTTTGAGCCCCAAATAGACAAAGAGACTGAATTGAATGGGAACATGTAAAGTTTGGCAGGATGGCCAAAGAACGATATATCAGCTAACAAGACGGTGTCTACCCAAAAACCAAGAAGTTAGTTGTTACCATATTTCGAGTATAGTAATTTTGGGAAGGATTTCATGCACCACCCATGACCAATATAGCAACCGAAATTCACATTTTGGACAACTGGGTTTTACCTGTATATTGATTCCAACTTCATGTGCTTTCCCGAATAGCGAATCAACTCGTACCACATCCGCAGGCAGCTGTTCCTGCATGAGGATGACCAAAAAGGAACATCATGTAAAAACTGCTACAAAGATCGAAAAGTGATACGAGGAGAATACGCTTTCTGTCATCAGATCGTGTATGAAAGCCTCTAAAACACCAATATATAGGTCTTTTTCCATCCGTAATTCAGATACCTTGTAAAATGCCTCTATGGAGTAGTTTGGATTTGCTCCAAATGTCACCGTGAAATAGGAAAATTCAACATGAAACCTCCACAACAAATATGCCAGATCGACAGTCCAGATGCTGCAGAAATATTACAAAAGAATGGTGTTACATTCCTTGCCAAGTCTCTCCGTTTCATAGTTTCTGAAAAATTGAAGCATGTCTAGTGTAAATGATCTTAAGCCATAAACCAAACCTATTTGTGGAGCACAGCTTGGCCAAATCCTGAATATTGCAGTTTGTGATTCCAACTGTTCTCAAAACCATCAAAACGCAAGCAAGACCACAATCCCATGAAGCTAACTGGTGTATATGTGGCACCTACTGGCATCAGACAAAAGATGAAACATGTAGCTAAGAGACCAATAATTTCTCAACAGCTTCTATATTTCTATGACCAGTAGACGAAGACCAAACCAGTAAGACAATAACAAAGGAACATCAAGAAGAACAGTAGTCTCACTTCTATGTAAGAAGAGGATGGTGACCCTTCATCTTGGTATTTCCCATCATTCACCAAGGGGTCATCACATTGGCAGTATTTTACTCGGCCTCCATCTGATTGCCCTCGATCTCCATCTTCAACTTTGAGAAGCTTGTTAAGCAGAAAACATAAAGGCCACATCAATTACCAAATGGGAAGATTCAGCAGAGTATAACAACATATCCTGGTCACGGGAACCGCAGAAGCAGCAACTGTTTCTCTTGGATATGCCTCCAAGCAAATCGTCCAAACGAAATGGATTGAAAATGACTCCCAAAGCCACCTGAAACGACAAGAAATTGGAGATATACAATATGAAAGAGTCTTTAAAGATATATTAGAGCAAGAACGAAGGAACCAAAACAATCAAGTTCCTTTAACAGGCAATTCAAAGTTGGAATCCTAACCCTGAAAGCTTGATCGTTTCCGACACCAGAAAATCTCAGTTCAACAGTTCATCCACACCAAACGCTAATAACAACGAATACGGTCTACATGGATTCGCTTATCAAATTTTAAACCTTAACGGAGATTCAGACGATATGCGAAGCTAAAGAAAGCGACAAATACGACGGATCAAACCCAACATTTGAGTCTGAATTCTGCGATCAGGGATCGAAAATCCAATACGGCTGAACAAACCAGACAGGGAAAGGTTTAAGATTTGATCGCGTCGGATAAATATATGCTCAGGATAAGTTCAAACCGGCTGAAGGTAGAGAGGGGAAATTTACCTTTGTTAAAGATGAGATGGAGAGAGAGAGAGAGAGAGAGAGAGAGAGAGAGAGAGAGAGAATGGTCTGATCCGCCGGAGGGGAGGTGACGCTTGTCGGTGGAGGAAAGGAACAAGGCCGAGAGAATTTTCTCGGACTGGTTTCTCTCGTTTTCCCGGAAAATTTATTTGTTGTTTTGGATAGTTCACTAAAATTAAATCCTACGTTTAAAATTCATTATTTAAAATCTCAATTAAATAAAGTAATTAAAAAAGATCATAACAGAAAAATGAAGTAAAGGACGATTAAAAAATATATGAAAACAGATGCACCACCATTTATATTTATAAAAAAATAACATATAAATACCTAATTTTTTACAAAATTTTCCTATAAATATCTAAATTAGAAAATTCTAATATAAATAAATGAACTTTTCAAAAATCCTATATAAATACCAAAATTTTTTATTTTTTTCTAAATAAATCCACTTCGTTTAATATATGAAAAAAAAAACATTTAGAAATCCTACTAAGCATCCACCTATGAACCGATTTAATTGAGTAGCAATTTAATATCTAGACCGGTTTAATAAAAAAACATAAAAAACCCAATTCTAAATTAATCTCTTTCTCTAAAATAATGGACACAACACCATCAAAGAGGAGGAAACGGTTTCAGTTGTGTTTTCTTCTTCTTCTTCGGGTTCTGGTTCTAATTCTGAGTGCTTTCTGAAAGGGGTTCAAAGCTTCGTTGATTCCTCAGATTCAAATCTCAAGAGGCTCCTTTCGTGAGAGAGAGGGAGAGGGCTTTCAATGTTGTTTGGGAGCCGAGAAAATCTGGGAAAACAAAAAGAAAAAATCGTTCCCTTTAAGATGAAGATGGAAAAAAAATGAATGCTGGAAAATTAGTGATAACAATGCCCACAAACAAGGAAACGTGTCTCCATGGAAGAAAACTCCGTTCTTCTGCTTCCCTGGTGAAGAAATGCGCCTCTCTCTTGCAACCTTGATATTGAAACGTGGAATGAGATTGATTTGGAATTGGGGATTTTAGGATTTTATTTATTTTTATCAAACCGATCCGGTTATTAAATTGTTATGTATTTAAACCGGCTTATCCAACGTGGCTTATTATATGGATGCTTACTAGATTTTCTAAATGTTGAGTCATCGTGTTTTTTTATTCCGTTAGCATATTTAACGTCGTTAACGGAATTGAATTTATTTGAAAAAACTAAAAATTTAGGGATTTATATAAGATGAATTTTTAGTGTATTAAAAGATGTTATTATCCTTCTTTCTCTTCATATAAAAACGTGATAAAGTCATTATATAATCGTAATAATAAAGTCATAACATTACAAAAAATTCACTCATTTCCAACCAATTTGTCCGTTGGAATTTTTTCAACGGTTTTCAACGGCGTTTCAACAATTATTTCCGTTAAAATTCCGTTGAAATTTTCAACAGATATCTGTTGGAAACACTCGTTAGAAATTTTCAACGGAATTTTCAACGTATTCAATTGAAAAATTGGGTTAAAAAATTCCAACGGCATTCCCAACGGATTTCGGTTAAAAAAATCGGTTGGAAATTTCCAACAGAATTCCAACGGATTTCGGTTGGAATTTTTTTTAAACAATTCCAACGGATATCGGTTGGAATTATTTTTAAAAAAAATTCAACGGAATTTCAACGGATATCGGTTGGAAATTTGGATTTTAGTTGAAAAAATCAATTGAAAAATATATATATACTAATACATATATATATTTTATAAATATAAATATATAGTATATATTATATTTATATTTATAAATTATATATATATATATATATTATATTTATATATATGTGTATAAATATAGTTATATTTTGTGTATATATATATATATTTATATATTTTCACAAATTGTGTTACATTTTAATAGGATTGCGGATGAAAGTCTAAGATTGAGATTGAATTTGTATTGTAGTTACATGATAAAATATAAAACTAATATATATTTTGTATATTTTATAAAAGAAAAATTCTATTAAAAATCTTTTATTTTTCTCTCGTCCTAATTTTAATACCATACTTTTTTATTCTATTAAACTTTATATTTGTTATATAACACTAAAATATCTATATTTTAAAAAAAATAGCAAATAAAAACTTATACACAAAAATTGATTATTGAACACTGACATAACAACAATTCTATTTACTCACATAACATATCATCAATCATGTAATATTTAATAATTTTAAATAATATAAATAATAAAAATTATTAAAAAATTAAAATAATATGGATAAAAAAGAAATAAAATAATAAAAATTACACATATATAACATATATATGTATATATACATACTAAAATTCATATTTAATTTAATTTATACGAAACTTATTAAAAATATTTTATGTAAAACATTTACACTATATACTAGGGTGAACATGAATCGGATATCCATAATTTTTAGAATATTCATATTTGTAACGGATCAGCACAAATATTTGATTTTGTTATCCGTATCTGATCCGTAATTTTTGAATATCTGCAAAAATCACGGATATTTGTGGATATCCGTATCCGATCTAAAACATTATAAACATTAGAATTAAAATTAAATAACAAATTTAAATACAAATAAAATGCATAACTAGGGGTGGCTTAATCGGGTTTCGGTTCGGGTTCAGTTATTTTCGGGTTCGGATATTTCGGTTTTAGAACAATTATAACCATTCGGTTTTTGCATTATATTCGGTTCGGTTATTTTCGGTTCGTACGGTTCGGTTATGATAAAAATACTCATTTTCTTAAGAAAGTTTACGGTTTTTTCGGTTATGTTTTTATTCGGTTTGGTTCGGGTTCGGATTCGGTTTTTTCGGTTTTAGAAAAATCATAACCATTCGGTTTTATATCTAATTTGGTTCGGTTACGATTATGCGTTATTCGGTTCGGATCGGTTCGGTTATTAACCAAATAAGCCAACCCTATACATAACTGTTTAATATAAACGATATTCGAAATTTAAAATCCATAATATAAACATTCTAAATCAACTCAAATACAAATACAATCACAATCTATCACATACATATATATTCAAAGTTTAAAATTCAAAATATTAAATATAATAAATCTTAATATTCAAAAGATTAAACATTCTAAACCTCAATATATATAAAATATTTATTAAATCTCTCTAAAAAACATGTAAATATTAAACATTTTAAATCTATATACCAAATTATTCTTATATTTAATAATATCATTACAAAGCATGGATCAGATCAGATATGTCGGATAATTTGATTTTAATATCCGTATCCGATCTATATTCGACAAATTATCAAAATAAATATTCATATCTGATCTGCAAATTCTGGATATTCGAATTTTCGGTTTGAATATGAATCGAATAACGGATCGATTCAGTTTTTCGGTTATTTTTTCCACCTCTGTTGTATACTAAAATTATCAAATAGCATGCAAAACATAAATTTACAAATAAAAATTTAACAATCGAACAACATAAAATTGCAATGTGTCGGAAAAAATAGCAAATAACATCATTGTTTATTAAATTAAGATATCATCCTACATAATTTATAATTCAATTATTTTTATTAGTCTTTTGTATCAATATATTTTTATTAGTCTTTTGTATTTATATATATATTATTGTTGTTCCAATGAAAAAAATTTATCAGTTCTTCGGTGTTTAAGAATATCTTTTTTTTAGCTTATAACGAAATTTTTATTATATATCAAAGAAAACAATCATAATAAATCATTTATATTGAACCTGTCCAACGTATTTACACTAACAATATAATGATGATTTTATAATAATTAAATTTTACAAATAGATTTTTTATAATAAACAAATGAGTTATATCATTATTATTATATTTATATCAATAAATTTTAAAAAAAATAGAATAACCCGCGCTGTACCGGCACCTAGTGAAATAAATATACTAATACGTACGTACCATTTGAATGCATGTTTTTTTCTATTTTTGGGAGAGAGACGCACAAAATGAATTTGAGAAAACTCTCTCAATGTGTATATAAATATTGGTGACAACAATGTCGTTGTAGTATAGTGGTGAGTATTCCCGCCTGTCACGCGGGTGACCCGGGTTCGATCCCCGGCAACGGCGTTAATTATTTTATTTGTATTTTAGCCGCGATATTTCCTAACTTTCTCTTTTTCCCCCCACCATTTTCAAAAACCTTAACATTTTCCCTCTGTTTTAGTCTTGTAGATACCGAACCGTATCAGAATTAATGGAAGTAAAATCTTGCTTTTGTGAGCTTCCTTGGCTCCTCCGCCGTTGCGTTTGATCATAATCTTGTTGCGTGAATTATTTAGCGCTTAAAAACTATCACGCGGGCATGTGCTTGTGACGCTTCTGTTTTCAGTTTAATCAAAGACAGATTCATTAAGAAATCGGATCCACTTTCACATACGCACGTTTACGCTTTTCAATGCATATTTGTGTAATCTACAGCCTTATCATGGTTGAAAATTATATAAAAAGACGTCACCAAAATATATATCCTTTTCCTCACTTTCTCAAATCGTGAAAGAATTTGTTGGTAACCGTAAAGACCGATCTCCCAAAACGATGTTGTGTTTCTCAGACCAAAATCAAGAGAGACATTTACGAAGCTTTCATACAAACTTGATCATTATTATCGCCAAACTTTTCCTTTGAATACATCAATAAAGACAAAACAATCAAAAGCTGATCCACTTGTTGAGATATGATAAAAATAACTTTAAGATAATGAGTTCGATTCAACTAGTAGGAAAGAATGGACGCAATTAATTGTGTGATTAAAAGTTGACTTCGGATTTATGGGATTAAGTAAACCGAATGTCTAGTGGACCTCTGATTATAAAAAAAAAAAAAAAAAACCAAAGGGAAAAACCATGGCTGCACAATCACACGTACCATTGTGCTTAACCCCATAGTCTCTCTTTGAAATCTAACCCTAAAGACTCGGACTTTGTAACAGAAACAATAATGAAGCAGCTTAAATGATAACGGTCCATATTGACAAGCTTATATATCCTAAGAGTAACATCAAATATGAAAAAGGAGAGAGAACTGTATGTATATGTTTCTCGTTCGGAAATCTAGCATGCACGTACTTATACATGTAGTGTGATAGTTTGGCTATATATTTGGTTGCATCTCCATATGAAAATGTGATATTGAATTAATTAATGATATGGGTATCTTGAGGGACTCGGGTGTGTTCAAGGGAATGGAGACATGTAGACGCGTAGAAATAAATGGCGATGGATGGTGGTATTATAGTTTATTGAGTTGATGCAGATTAGGATGAATCTGGACAGTCAGAGATCGAGATCCACGACGAATACCACGTGGTCTCTGTCCATTATTCAAACTCGGAAGAAGAAGAGAGAAATAAAGGCCGACCCACAGAAAAGAAAAGAAAAGAAAACCAGAGAGAGAGAAATGGAGGAGGAGGAAGAAGAAGGAGATGGAGAAGTCCAATTTCCTGTCCACCCTCACCCTTTGACACCTTTTCACATGTCACGTTTCTTCTGCTCTCTGTGCTGTGAACTGTCATCAGATATCGACTGTTACATCTGCACAACTTGCCACGAGACCTTCCACAAGAAATGTGCAGAGTCGCCATTGGAGCTCCACCACCATCCTTATCACCCTCCTCACTCTCTCTCTCTCTCTCCTCTTCCCCTTACTGATGCCCAAGCTTCCAATACATGCAGCTGTTGCGGACAAGAACTCGGAGCTGGATGGGTTTATCACTGTTCTGCCTGCATATTCATCATCCATCTCCGTTGCGCCAATGAGCCACCGGCTCTCGAGGTGGACCAGCCCAAGAGCCATGGCCATAAGCTCTTCCTCCTCCCTAAACCACGTCCCTTCACTTGCGATGCTTGTGGGCTGTTTCTCGATTCTCCCTCTCTTCCTTGGGGTTGCCTCGAATGCGGAGTCGTGATCCATAGAGAATGTATCGATTTACCACGCGTCATTAGGATATCCCGTCACCCGCAACATCGTCTCTGTTACTCTTCCTCTCCCTGTCTTCCTCCAACACATGAATCGTCATGGTCATGTGGAGTTTGTCGTAAAGCCGTCGAGGACAACTATGGTGCGTATTCTTGCATCAAAGATGACTGCCATTACGTCGTCCACTCAAAGTGTGCAACGAGAGAAGATGTGTGGGACGGAAAAGACCTCGAGGGAGTGCCCGAAGAACCCGAGGATGTCGAGGAGCCATTCGAGATCATAGACGATGGAGTCGTACTCCATTTCGGTCACAAGCATAATCTCAAACTGAAAACGATAGATGATGAAAGCAAACACTGCGAAATTTGCGCTCTCCCTATTCGTATTCACTTGGGCGGTATCTACACTTGCACACAATGTCAATGCGGTTGCGATTTCGCTATCCACGAGGCATGCGCCAATCTGCCGAGAAAAATATGGTACATGCTACATCCCCACCGCCTCACACTACAGAACCGCGTCACAGAAGTTAGGACGTGTAAAGTTTGTGTCCGCAACTGTTGCGGTTTCATGTATAGGTGTTGCGAAGAGGAATGTGATTTCGAAGTAGACGTGAGTTGCGCTTCGGTATCCGAGCCCTTTACCCATATAACTCATCCTCATCATCCTCTGTTCTCCACGTCGGTTTCAACTTGCGGCAACACATGTTTCGGTTGCAGAGTAAAGAACAAGGGGTATACGATGCAATGCATCGAATGCGACTTCGCCTTGTGTTTAGAGTGCATCACTTTACCGTCTAAGGTGAGGTACAAACACGACAGGCATCCTCTCGTCATCGGCAATGGCGACGAGACGAATTGCTCGTGGTGTGAGGTCTGCGAAGGAAAAATGGATCCGGAGGTGTTTTTCTACGGATGCGACAGCTGTTGCGTCACTGTCCATGGCGATTGCGTGCTGGGAGAGCAGCCGTTCGTGAAGCCTGGTCGGTATATCCCCGAGACGAAACTAGGATTTGAAGTTGCGGCCAACAACAGTTGCTGCCGACCCTTATGCCATCAATGTGGAAGGCGTTGCCCGTTCCCCATTGTTTTCAAGAGAAGTGATCTCTATTTATGTACTTTCGAATGTTTAGCCGACTCTTTGTTTTCAGGAGAATGATGAGCGTTTGTTAAATGCGATGGAACCCATTAGATTTGAATGTTTGGTCTTGGTGTAGGAAATTGACATAGATCGGTGTATTTTTCAAGTACATTGGAAAATTTTGATGGATTTTGAAAAATTAGTGTTTTTATTATTTATTTTGCTGTTATTAATAATGGAAGGAAGCTATTTTTGATATATGTGTAAACACCCCATATTGGTATAATTTAATATAAAAAAAAGGGCCATCACAATCTCCATCCTCGTACAACTGTGTGTTCAGGAAAGGCTGGAAGCCATTGCACCATGTTGACATGGGAAAACAGCAAAGAATATCAATAATACACCGTATCCTTCTGAAAGGGGAAACAAAAAGAACAAGGATAAATGCCCGGAGCTGTAGGACAGGCTTTGTAACCTGTCAGATGCAACATGAAGATTGAGACAAAACAAAGACGCAGAGGTAAAAAAGAGGTGACCTGCCTCATACGTGTTTTGTGTATTGTATTTGTTTGACTTGAAAATGTGAAATTTGTCCGAAGGTGTTGTTCTCCTCTCATCCTTTTCTGACTAATCTCAGTACGTCTCCCACGAGATGTAACGAACCCGTTACAAGTACCTGCTTTTGTTCCCCAAATAAACCATCAATTCAGACATGGTCATGTGTCTGACGACCCAAAAAAAAAATCGTTTTTGTTTAACCTGTAATGTTACCTGGAGACGAATGGACGATCCGCTCTGACCGACACTCTCCCTGAGCCAATTCATCGCTTGAGGTAGAGAAGACATCACCATGCTGTTTTCGTTCCCTCTATCTTCCACATTGTTGCCGTCTTTCCCTGATGGCATTGACGCGTATAAAGATATTTATCTAGTCATTAGAATCTACATCTTGGATTATATTTGTTCCTATTATTTAGGACATTATTTTGTTTTCTATATTTGCATTTTATGGAGCTTCTTCTCATTTTTATCAGTAACACAGAAGTTTTTTACTCGATATTTCAATAATTTTATTTTTGCTCGTATGTTAAAGAGCAAGGGTTCCGTACCTCTTTCGCCATGAACGAGGCTTTCCCACACATTTTGCAGTTTGTATTGCCAAGACAAATCAACCTGGGAATCATTCTCCGGCAATGTATCATGGGTCCCGACCTTGTGATACACAGACATGTTCGGCACAAACAAGGCCTTCTTGAAGTGTACACCTACAAAGGAGTGGTAAAAAAATAAATTCAACTTTGCGAGTATTCTATATTCTGACCTCTTCCAACGGTTAAGACATCAACATTTGTTTAACATTCCTTTCTTTTCTTGTGCCATCCAACAGATATCATTAACTAGGATCAGGATTTAAGCACTTTACCATGGTTCGCACATGTATTCTTCAGATGTGGAAGAAGCAAATGTGGATCCCGAACTGACATACAATTGAACAGCAATATCTGCCACATTACAAAGACACTACTTAGGTCATATGCTCAGAAAACTGCAATAAGGAAAGCTCATTGAGGCTTTTCATTTTCCCAGTGGAAAAGTAGAAGCATAAAATGGCAAGTTGTCTCTTACCTGTTGGTGACTTTTTCCAGATTCGTTTTTATCACACTCTCTCTCTACAGAATCACGAGTGGATCCTGAAGAGATATTTGCCAAATGTTTCAGACTCTCTCCCTTTACCGCAAGTGAAAACCATTTTGCGCATGCTTCCATGCTTTCGGGACTGTGAGCTCCGTCCAAATAAAAGACCAGATCTCCCTCATTTCCTGATTCGGTAAATTGATCAGGAACGACCTGTGCCCGTCCCTGCAAACTGGCTGTAGATAACCCTTTGATGAACTGCTCAGGCAGGACACTCTATTCCAAGACGAAAAAAGGAAGAAAAAAAGGAGATTCAAAGACAAGAAATAATTGAGGTCCACAAAAAAAAAGCAGCCCACTCACAAACCAAGAAAGAAAGACGATTAGACATGGAAAGAACTTTTTACCATCTGATTCAGACCGGCAATTTTAAGGTTACCAGCTTGCTGCAGCCATGTAGAGGCTAGAGAAACTGCCAAACCAGCATTTAGATACTGATGTTCACCATCAAGCGCAAGTTTCTTGCCATTCAACAGTCTTTCGTTCAGCGGTTGCACCACTTGGAGATTCACCTTCAACAGAATATTAAGCTCTCCATGAACACATATGACTTTGGGAAATTAACACTGATAAAAAAACCCATAAATTGAACAAATGTATCTGTTATACTTTGGCCATGAAATAAGAAGTGACAACCAGAATACCATAATCAAATAAGAAACTAGCAAGTAAACAGTGAAATTTGTGCACTCATTCCTACGCCGAAATGAGTGAACATAGAGCTGAACTTTTAAAGTTTGAACTTACATCTAACCCAGAGGCTTTCTCTTCAAGGACACACATAGCTTCATCAGGTTGGGGTACTGTGACAGCTGGAACTCCACGCTGCATGATGAATGAAGCAGATGGAGCAACAAAAAGTGGAAGTATATTGCAGAAAGGAGTACTACTTCACTTTATACAGATATATAGACACCTTGAAAATTCCAGCCTTCTCACCAGCAATTTTCCCAAGTGTATCCCCTATGATGCATCCAGTATAGAGAAAAGAGAAGTCATGACAAATACTAACGTTATTTAAAAAATACATGTGAATTACTTGTGTGCCATTTGATCATCTGCAGGTCATTTGAACATTTTACAATCAAAGAGCACTCAAATACACGAATGCACACTGACATACACAAGCGTACAACATGTGAATGTGTTTCTGTGGTTGCATACGTAAGAATTCGTGAACAGTTATTTCAGTGAAATTGTTCACGCACCCATCTCTCCTGGGTTTTGAATGGTGAGTTTTCATACATATAACAGCATTTACATGGAAGACTTGGGTAGATACATTAATCGTTCTCACATTTAACAAAATATCATACAAGCAAGGTTAGGCAAGAAAATATAAAAATATGCATCTCCTTTTTGCTCATCTCACTAAGTGCCCAGTGTTTGTATCAAGGCATATAATTCAAATCCAAAAGAGCTGGAAATACAGCTCTAATACTATTTGGAGGCATTCTCGAAAGCCAAACGGTGGGTAGGAGAAAATACAAACCTAGAATTTCCATGTGGTCATATCCAAGAGAAGAAACACCACATACCACCGGCTTCTGAACCTGAAACACACATAGTGAACCCGCATAAGAAGGGGTGTTGTCAAGAAAGATGTGTCAAGTTTGCATCGTTAGAAACACAAGAAAAGCAGCATCAGAAGAGATTTATAAATTTTCCAAATTAGCAATTTTAGCCTTTCCAGGATTTTATTATGGGTTCTCTTATTATTTTTCTGAAGAGTTTGATTTTGATTAGATCCTATTTCTGGACCATGACATATTTCTTCCAATGACACTTTCAACAAGTTCTGATATATACAAAATTTCAGCCTGGAAAAAAAAATTAAACATACCGCATTGGTTGCATCAAACTTCCCACCTAATCCCACCTCCAAAATAGCAACATCCACCTGCATAAAGAAATCAGGGGTAACATCTCTTATATCAGAATAAAATAAAAGAGTGAATCGATTGCATCTCTAATGCACTAAAAATGGGTATCAAACCTCCTCTGCGGCGAATATTTTAAAAGCTAGCAATGCAAGGAAGCGGAAATATGTAGGCATTGGTGTTTCCTCGTTAGTTCTCTCCTGCAAGCCAAATAAACAGCGACTTTTGAGGAAAAAACTACGAAGTGATTTCATTTTTCATTTGCAAAAACTGCATGTCTTCATATGGTTCATTCTAAATTTGCAACTGCACTGCCCTCTTTAAAGATAAATATACTTTTCAACTATACTACCCTCTTTGATCAATACACACACAAAAACTTACTGTCATGCTAATAGAGTCGGGCAGGATGAACATATAACCAAATTTTACAATTTATTGCAACTTAAGGGCCAGATAAATTCAACTTAATTTAAAAAAGATAAATCACATGCTCTATGACTTTGAGCAAAAAACTGGTAATATCACATAATATTCAATCACCAGTTAATCCAAAAATTGATAATACAGCAGAAGAGCTCAACCCAACAAATTCCAACAATCAAATTCATTTCTATTTGGTTGCAAAAATACCTTTAGCCTGTTGTAGCACCACCAGAAATAAGTCAAAAATTTCTCCTCGCTTATGTCCACCCTGCAGAAATGAAACAGGTCACGGAAAGGGAAATGAATGATATTCCACAAAGAACAATGGCGACAACACTAAACCCTATTATGCTCCTTTTCGGTATCTCTTTGCTTGCTTGAGAATCAAAAGTAAGCACGATAACAAATGTTTTCATTTTCTAACAAGATCATGTTTGTGTGAGAAAATAAATATCACAATTCAGTGCCATAAAGCCATAGAACAAACTCTTTATACTTACCCATTCAAGCGAAATCTTTCCCGGACATCGATGAGGTGAGGTGAGGTGAAAAGTCCAGTTCGGAAGCCATAATTACGTAAAATAGACTCTGTAAAGGTGCATGTGGATCCCTTCAGGCCATCAGGATAAAAAGTTATGTCAGCATTTGGATAGAGTAATAAGCGATTAGCGAAGCAAACAAAGAACTAAAACCTTACGCAGAATAACCAAATTCTTTCACAATTAGTTTCATCATTGTCACATATTGATTATGAAAGACACTGGCAAGCAATCATCACGCACATGCTATATCCTATAATCTGATATGAATCACAGTCCAAGTAAATTGGAATCCAACAGAAATAGAACTTTATAATTGAGATAATGCAGGGTAAAATGAAGCAAATGAACGAAGCCCCAAGTATACAGCAGAATGATTTACTGAAAACATATAGGGACAAACTCTGGGGACAAATATAATAAGACAGGAACTCACAGATCTCGAGAAATTCACAGCCCCATAAACCCGTAAGTTCTGTGATATCTAAGAATTAAACGACAACGTAGTACAGCATCTCTAGTCATTAAATTTTCTCGTACCTTCCCTTTGGTACCGGCAACATGGATGACTTTCATCTTTGAAATCTCCTCTTCCAGGTTAAGTATCTGCATATGCATTACGAAAATCGAAAACATATTAGCAGAAGATAACAACAAGGGTACAATCAACCAATGAAATCCACAGTCGAATCGAATCACGAGAGAAAAACCTTCAAATAATCGAACACCAACTCGAATCGATCTCCCTTGTTGCTCTTATCAGCACGGCTACGCTTCGTGATCAACGAAGACAAAGCATCCAATGCCTCCGCGTACTGATTCTTCCCCTCTGCTTTGAGCTCCAACAATCCATTACCGCATTCTTTTTCGTTTTCCCCGTGGAAAAAATCAGAAAAAACAACTCAATCAAAAAATCCAACGAACAGATTTCCACATTCAAGCCAAAAAATGAATTCATCGAATCCATTTAAGGACGATACAAAGAAAAAACGCGTCAACAAACCTCGAGCAGCCATGCCGATTCGCTTCCCCAACGAACAACGAATCTGAAATCAAATGCGAATATCCAAGAGAAAACGAAACACAATCTCTTATGAGCTTCTTCGGAAAGAGAGAGAGAGGAACCTGAGGACGATGGCGGTGCCGGAGTGAAGCGAGGATGGAGAGGTCACAACGGGATCCACCGTGCAAACGACATGGAGTGGTCTGAGGCACAAAAGAAACGGCAAACATTCCTGCGTTCGAGCGCTCGTGTTTACTTTTCCTTCATTTTTGTTCGGTCTTTGACTGGAGTCCAAAGTCACATATACGTAATTATTTTTTCAAATTTCATACGTGGCTGACACGTCATCATTGACACGTAGACAAGCCGAGTCATCTCGCACGAGGGGAAATCCACACGTGTGTACCCATTTAGGAAAAAGCGAAACAGAAAACCGAGAACCAAACACCTGCAATGTCTTGTAATTAATTATTATATTATAAGACCATCGATATATACATATCTATATATATATTTGTTTGATTTGCTCATTATAATACATTTATGCAAATTTCCATTTTACGAAATAACAGAAAAACCATAATTCTCAACTCAGTTCTCATGGAATTCAAAGATAAGGAAAAACCCAAATTATTTCCTTATCTGTTTCCAACAATTCTCCACTTTCTGTTTTTTTGTCAGACAAAAAAGTTTCCATTTTCACTTGCAGATCATATACATACACATATACACACATTCATTAACGAAAAGTATCGAAACCAATCCAGAATGGTCTCACAACTCACTCTCTTATTCCGCGACAAGCTGCAAACCACCGAAGAAAACGAAACGCAGAACACTGTAACAGCAGAGAAAAGATCCAAGAAGAAGAAGGCGGATTCTTCTGAAACAGCGAAGAGCGGATCAGATTCTTCTGAAACCGATAACGTTTTCGGCTACTTTTTTTCGTCGCCCATATCGTCGTCTTCGTTCAAGATGCCGCTTCGTTACCCGGACTACAGGAGAGAAGACTATGAAAACATGTCGGAAGAAGAGCTCGATCGGCTTCTCGACGTGTACGGTCTGCCTGTTCTCGGTGACTTGTCGCACAAGAAAGCTTTCGCAATCGGTGCTTTCTTGTGGGAGAAGGATATCGTCTACGAGCAGGAAGAGTCTTCTCCTCCTCCTCCAGATGATTGTTTCATAAACCCTAATTCAGTGAAATCTAGACTGGGATTGACGGAGGCTTTGAGAGAGATGGTTCGGCTCATGTTTCGTGTGTAGCAAGAAAGTAAGCAAACCCTAGAATCTGGGAATTGATTCCCGGAAAAAACGGTGCCGTATTTTATGTTTAATTATATGTTTTGTTTCTGTAAAGATTGCCGGTATTGATTCCGGGAGAAAACGGTATCGTGTTTCATGTTTAATTATATGTTTTGTTTCTATAAAGATTAAAGCTCTGCATCTATGTTCTCTAGATTGACTTATTTTATATCAGAAGAATTCAAATTCGGAATACGACATATAATATGTATGTGGTAACATTTTATTTCAACGTATTTTACAATAATAAAAACCTAAAATTTCAGATGTAAGTAAATATTTTTTCATTTCATTTTGAAAAAAAAATAGCCTAAAATTTGAACCCCAAAAAAATGGACCGTGACAAATGATTGACTTGGCACTGCCTGCCGTGTTAGCAAAACCCCACCGTCATTTCGATAAATGGCAAGTGGCAAATTGGCAATGTCGTAATTTATCATAAATCTCAAGACAGAGAATGAAAATACATTGCGCCGACATTAAAGCTCATCTGCCTATAAAGTCGAATAATATGGGTATCCAATTGATCGAACATAAAGTTTGAAGCCATTTTCGGAAATTTGCAATATTTATGGGTGCGAATGAGGTTTCACTGAAAACTTATACGTATATATACGGTTTTGTTTTTTCCTTTTTTTGGTTAAAATGTAAATTATATATACGGTTTTGTTATACTGTTTAAAGTTCATTTTCTTCGTCTCCTCCACTGCTTCACTCACAGTCCGAAAATTAAAGGGAAAATAAGAAGAGGAGAAGCCCATGAAGCTGTTAACCGGCGGCGATTTCCTCAGAAACCCTGGCTTTATCAAGATCTCCGCCCTCGTTTTCATCTCCGTTGCCTGCTTCTTCCTCGGGAAGCAGTCATCCGGCTATGAATTTCCTCAGCTCATCTTCTTCTCCGCCGCTCCTTCGCGATCCCCCATTGTTGCTCTGTCTCCGGACTTCGGTAAAACCTATAACATCTCCGCTTTGATTTCTCGGAGCCGAGCTCAAACCAAAACCCCCACCCCGCCGGTAATTCTGCCTTCTCCGCCGCCGCCGCAATGGGTGGACGTGAAGACCTTCGGGATCGTTAATGAGAATGGGACGATGTCGGATCAGTTCCAGATTGGGGAGTATGACACGGGGTCGGTGGATGCGTGGGGGAATATGACGGAGATCGAGAACGGTGGTGGTGGTGGTGGTGGTGGTGGTGAGAGTGAATCTAGGGTTAGAGTTGGTGTGAAGAAATTCAAGATGTGCATGGAGAATATGACGGAGTATATACCATGTTTGGATAACGTAGAGGCGATAAGGAGGCTCAATTCAACGGAGCGTGGAGAACGGTTCGAGAGGCATTGTCCCGAGGAAGGGAAAGGGTTGAATTGCATTGTTCCCACGCCCAAAGGATACCGTACTCGGATCCCATGGCCGAGAAGCCGTGATGAGGTATAGTGACATTTTCTGTTACTTCTGGAATGCTATACTCTTGGTTGATTTCTTCTATTTCTGTATATGGATTCAAAACAGAGATACATTACAAGAAATTGAAAGTTTTTGAAGTTTTTTGTTGGCATGAGCCGTGACATTTGTTGGTAAATTAACAATGGTTTTAAGGGAAAAACTGGTTTTTTTTCACAGGTGTGGTTCAACAATGTTCCACATACTCGACTTGTTGAAGACAAAGGGGGTCAAAACTGGATTTTCAGAGAGAATGACAAATTCAAGTTTCCTGGAGGTGGTACCCAGTTTATACATGGGGCTGATAAGTACTTAGATCAGATTTCCAAGGTTGTGTGATTTTCGTAATCAATATGAACTTTTTATGTTTTCTCATGTGTTTTTCCTTGAAACTGATGTGATTAAATTGTCAACCGTATAAACAGATGGTTCCTGCTATCGGATTTGGCAATCATACACGAGTTGCTCTGGACATTGGGTGTGGTGTGGCAAGTTTTGGTGCCTATCTAATGTCCAGAAATGTCTTGACTATGTCCATAGCTCCAAAAGACGTTCACGAGAACCAAATACAATTTGCTCTCGAGCGTGGTGTTCCAGCAATGGTGGCAGCATTCACAACAAGGCGATTATTGTACCCAAGTCAAGCTTTTGATTTAGTTCATTGCTCGAGATGTAGAATCAACTGGACTCGTGATGGTATGCATTTTATATTTGCTACATTTTTAACTTACTGTAGTAAAGATAAAGCAGGAGTCTTGATTCCATGTCTTGCTCGTTCCATCTACCATGTCTCCTCTCATCCTCCTTGAACTCAGCGAACGTTAGAAGTATTTTACTGTGGAAGAATGATTCGAAGCTGCGTGTCTTTTTAGCTGGAAATGTTTACCTCTTCTTGCATTCTTGGCTGTTTTGTATTCTCCTATTCGGCTTCATTTGAGATATCAACATTATTCTGAGCTCCTAATGACTTAAATTGGTTGGCCCTTTGATTTCATATGCAAACACATGGTCACGAAGATGGAATCTTGCTTCTTGAGGTCAATCGCATGCTTCGTGGTGGAGGATACTTTGCTTGGGCAGCACAGCCGGTGTATAAGCATGAACAAGTCTTGGAAGAGCAGTGGGAAGGTATCATTCCAGCTTAGTATTCATTTTGTGCTTTAGGTACTTATAGGCAATTCATGCTTCTTAGTGGTTGTTTGCAGTTGAACTATTTTCTTCCCTTGTTTCTGTTATACACTTTAGCTTCAAAATCCAGAATAGGTTATCTTTGATATTCTCTGTAGTCATTAGATTGTAATAGAAGCTTTTCGAGCAAAGAATTATCACATATTCTTCGAAGCAGTTTGAGTTAAAATAGGACCATACTTGAAGCTGATTAAGGCGCTCGAATTATAACACATTTATGCTCGTGTTCTTTGGTTTTGCTTCAGTTCCGGTAGGTTGTATGGATTTTACCGAGATTTTCCCCCAGCACCAAATATTGCATCCACATATGATTTGATGGGTTTCTTCTTTTTTTTTCAGAGATGCTAAACCTTACTGCTCGACTCTGCTGGGTTCTTGTAAAGAAGGAAGGATATATAGCAATCTGGCAGAAGCCCGTGGATAACGACTGCTATCTTAGTCGTGATACTGGAATCATGCCTCCTTTATGCAGCTCTGAAGACAACCCCGATAACGTTTGGTATGTTTGCTTAACCTTCCCAGACAATTCCTCACCTAGATATTTCTCTCGTAACCACAATCATAAGTAATTTGCGGTTAAGTTAGGTATGTGGATCTGAAGGCATGCATCACTAGGATTCCTGAGAATGGATATGGAGTGAATCTTGCTCCTTGGCCTACTCGTTTACAGACCCCACCAGATAGGCTACAGACCATACAAATCGATTCTTATTTGGCCCGGAGAGAGCTCTTCAAGGCTGAATCAAAATACTGGGAGGAAATAGTATCAAGTTACGTCAAGGCCTTACACTGGAGGGAAATGGGACTCAGAAATGTCTTGGACATGAGAGCTGGCTTTGGCGGGTACCCTTTCTTTCCGCCCTGCTTTTATGACAGCAATATTACCAATTAGGGTTGGGTGCGGGTCGGTACCTGAGTTTTTGGAATACTCGTCCTCGGCCTCACCCTCTATGGCTATGGGTTTTATCAAATTGTGCATGAAAATAAACGTATACATTATTGTATTTACCTGGCAGTAAAACCCGATGTCTTGCATTCGGCCTAGTTTGCTGCCGAGTACCCGTATTGCGGGTACCCGTGAGACGAGTATCAGTGAACCCGCGGTATTGGGTTTTGGGTTTTGACGCCCAACCCTATGACTGATTGTATCATACCGTGTTGTTTTTGGCAGATTCGCGGCTGCATTAATAGAGCAAAAACTCGATTGTTGGGTTCTGAATGTAGTCCCTGTCAGTGGCCCCAACACATTGCCTGTGATATACGACCGTGGACTCCTGGGAGTTATGCATGATTGGTACATCCACTTCTTCTCATTTGTGAAAATGTCTTTGCATTATTAATACTTTAGTTGTTTCTTTAAACACCTTACAAACGAAAGGATATCACAAAGTTTTCGTTTTTCCAGGTGTGAACCTTTCGATACATACCCAAGAACCTATGATTTACTGCACGCGTCAGGTCTCTTCTCCATCGAGAGAAAAAGGTAAAACCGAAACAAACCCATGCTGGGTCGGGTACTTGTAAAATCAGAGTACCCGGACCCGTATCCAAAGGTCTCGGATATCATAATTTGATATCCATACTCGTATCTGAAAGTCTCGGGTATTCGGACTACGAGTACCCGGACCCGTATCCACAGGACTCGGATATCGTAATTTGATATCCATACTCGTATCTAAAAGTCTCGGGTATTCGGACTACGAGTACCCGAAGGTGTCAGAATATCGCAGTTTGATATCTGGACCTGTATTCGAAATCTCAGACATTCGGACTATGAGTATCCAAAAAGTTTTTGAATATCTAAACGTGAAAATTATTAGAAAAACAGATTTATTACCAAAAAAAAAAGGAACGCACAATACAAGTTATACAACTACTAATGGTCGGGTGATTGAAAAATTCAGGGTACGTGGACTGTATTCGAAGGAAAAAGGGTCAACACAAAAAATTAACGAGGGTATAGATGGTCTTAATATATGTATATGGGTATCCGAGGGTATCAATCATCGATTTTTAATTACTTGTACCACTATCATTAGACGGTTAATAGAAAAAACCTGTCTCGTAACCTGAAAGTGATCGAGTACCCGAAAATCGGATATCCATCGGCCAGATACCTATGCGGCTATGCCCACCCCTATTGATCTAAGCTCAGCTCATCTCTATTGAAGCCTCAAAGTCTTTAAGATTATGTGTGTGTGTGTGTATGTTGGAATGTTGATGTGTTCAGGTGCAATATGACGACAATCATGCTAGAGATGGATAGAATTCTGAGACCAGGAGGACGAGTATACATAAGGGACGTAACCGAAGTCATAACCCATCTTCAAGAGATTGCGAAGGCAATGCGTTGGCGCTCTTCTCTGCGCGAGACGGCAGAGGGCCCTCATGCCAGTTACCGGGTCCTTGTTTCCGACAAGCCCTTCCTCTGATCCTAAATCTTCAATTCTATCAGGTATATACACATATACACATATATGTATTCGCTATATAAGTTATTGGATTTCATCCTTTTTCTTGTTTCCTCTATAACCCGAAATGCAAAACCTGTATAGTCTAAACCAGCTTCACCAATCACAGTTTCCCTTTTCTCTGTCGATTTATTATTTTCGACTGTATTTACCTTTGGGACATTTTGCTTTCCAAAGCAGTAAAATTCCCTTGCCAATTGGGAGTTCACAGACACCCAGGAAGTTTTTGTTCATAAAAGAAGCGTTATTCCACTAGGGGTGTTGAATTAAGCATGTATCTGATAAGATTCTCATTCACCATGACATGCTACTAGGAAAAGACAGATGGCCGAATAGGAGAGAACAAGAAAGATAGCAAAGGCATTAGCGCGTGTGGTTTGATTTGATTATGATTTCATTGATTTTTTTTTTTTTCATAATTTTTCAACATAGAATTTGTATAAGAACCAATGTTCTTCATTTGATCCATATACAGAAAAATGATTCAACCCATTTAATATCGTTAAACTTTAACATGGTATGAGGACATATTTGTCTCTAACAGTTCAACCATTTCCAAACACGTGTACAAAATATTGTCAAGTCCGTGTCTTGCATATTGATCTCATATAAAAAAAAAACAAAAATGATAGAGATAAGAGGGCAAAAAAAAAATCAAAGTGATGACTCTCCAATGTGACTTTCACGCATCTTGATGAACAAGGTTGAATATATATAGATAGATAGACATACACATATATGTATATCTATATATGGAATAGGGAAAACAACCAAAGAAAAAGAAATCACTTGGAAAAAAAAAATAGAGATTTTGTAAATTCTTATAAGGCAAATCACTGCAAATTTTAATTGTCTTTTTCAGAAACATTTTTAATTTATTTCACTTGCACGAAAAAAGCCACCTCTTTTGCCTCTCTATGCTCCACACCTCATTTTGCTCTTTTGTCCCCCCCCCCCTTCAAACCCCCTTGCCTATCCCATTTAAAAATTTGTATTATTATTGTTATTGTTATTTTCTTAATTTGGGATTGATTGGATGCCATGAAGTTCATGACTTGAAAACGAGAGTTTTTAAAATCCAAAATCGTAATGTATGTATGTATGTATGTATGTATGTATGTATGTATGTATGTATGTATGTATGTATGTATGTATGTATGTATGTATGTATGTATGTATGTATGTATGTATGTATGTATGTATGTATGTATGTATGTATGTATGTATGTATGTATGTATGTATGTATGTATGTATGTATGTCAGACAGTGAAAAGAGGAGATCACACATCAAAGGACCAAAAGAAGAAAGCAAAGAAGGGATTGAGAAATTGAATATTATGAAGCAGAAGCTACAGTCTCCCAAATGAGGGAAACAAAAATTGAACTTCTTTTGTTGGTGGTTATATGTTATATAAATATGACATAAATTATTCTCTCTTTCTTTTTCATAGTTTTTGTTCTGTTCGAGTTTTTTTTTTTTTTAATTCGTTGTAATGTTGCTTTCAAGTTTCTTAGAAAGTCAAGAAATGGGTATTTAAGTCAAAAGCCACGTTTCCTCGTATTAAATTTCGGTTTTTTTATTATGTTTGATTTCAATTATTTCGAATTTGATTTTTTCAAAGACCTATATATATTCGTTTCGTTTTTTTCACAAGGGATGTCTATATCATTCAATTCAAACTCAATTTTTTTTGTAAGAGCTGTATATATATTGTGTCTATGTATGCCTGATAAAAATATTTGTTTATTTTATCCCTTTTTAAAATTATCACGCATACGTTTAGATTGTTAAACATGTAACCTATATAGAAGTAGAAGATTCGTGGTTTACCAATTAATTTTATATCATGTCCAAATCATATATATATATATATATGAGATTTGGATCTAGATCCAGACTACTTTTGACAGAATTTGAAAAAAAAAACTAAACTAAAATGTTTATCAAGGTACGATATGATTAGAATACAACACTCAAAAGTCTAACCATTATTGGAGGACTTCAAAATCGAACTATTGAAGTCACGAATAAAGAAGAAAAAACAATAGAGGAAAAAAGTGTTTTAAAAAACAGGATGGAAAATAATTAAAGTAACAGTTTACGGAGCAGAACTTGAAATGACCCAAACTGTCAGTTCCTTCAATTAGATCTACCTCACTCTGCCTCCACACGTGTGTGTGTGTGTGTGTATGTATAATGTATGCATGCATGCAAACATGCATGTGTATGGCATACACACATATACACACGCATGTACACATATACCCATGTAGAATTGCTGTGACCTCTCCACTCTTCTCCTCCATGCAGAGCAGAGGGCCGTGACTCTACGTGCGGCAGCTCTTCCCATGCATTTGTATTTTGATCATAAATATATCGATAGTGATTTTTTTTTTACTTATTTACGCAAAAAATTATATACATACATGTAGGCGAGTCTATCAATTTCCCCATATCTATGCATAATTATCAAAAGAACTATTTCTTTTAAATAGTTTACAAAATTTTAAAAATTTTAACTTCAACTTAGAGAAATCATATTACGATTCCGAATAGTTATTTGGTAAACTTTATTTTTCAGATGTCAAATCATATTATAACGGCAGATATTATGGTTTTTTGACTTTTCGAGAGATTTACATATAAAGCCAAAAGTGGAAGAACTACCTTTGTTCTCATCTCGCTTTCATGAAATTATAATAATGAACACCACCTTAAAAAAATACAATAAAACTCAAATATTTCTTTTTCCTCCTCTCAATATCACATTGTTGCTGAGATTATGATCATCATGAGCCCCCAATCTCAGCTCGAGATCCAATTCCTCACGGTGGTGGTTATTGTTGATGATGTTGTTCTTGGAGTTTGTGGGTTCAAGAACTAACTCTAACATCATAGGCAATCTTGATGAAGCACCATGATGATGATGATCATCGTCATCATCATCCCTTTTGGCCCTCTTGCGAGAAGATCTCGTGGCCGGTTTCTGACACAACTCCGATTTCAAACCCACTGATAAATCTGTCCTAACCTCACAATTGTCAAGATTCTTCGCTGAATCTTCCACGGCATCATCGACATTGTCTTCCCTTTCTGGCTTTCTAGAATCTTCTAGAAGATTCTTGGAATCAGAAATGATTCCAGTTTTCGATCCGAAACTAGGGTTGGCTTCGACAATGGGGTAATGACTAACTTGTTGGTCGGAATCTTGGTTGTGTTTGAGACGAGCTCGGTCGCGACGGTGGACGTTCATGTGGCCGCCTAGGGCTTGAGCCGACCTGAACTCTCTAACGCAGAAGCTGCACGTGTAAGTCCTCGGAGGCCAAACGCAACCGCCGCAATCCTCCACGGTCGCAAACGCAAACGCTTTCTCCTCCTTCGAACCACCCATAAACGACCGGAAAACCGCGGTTTCAGACAACCTCGGCATCGGTTTCTTCATTGAAATCGAGCACTGCCCTTTCTCCGTCCCACACATGTACGTAAACAAAGATATTGATACCAAAAAAGCAAGGTTTGTACTTTGTTTTTTTGGTTCGAATTGTCTTATATTAACGAGTTATTATTAAGGAGGAGGAGAAAAAAGAAGAGTTTTTTTTGGAGCCTGTAGCTTACGCACGTAGACGTATATAAACACAGAAACATATACATACATATGTAAGAAAATGTGTGTATACACGGTTAAAGCATTGAATGTTCGAAAGCTACTTGAAAAACCATGAGAGAAGAGAGAGATACGGATGTCAAATGGGCTCGCGAGTTGCGAGAGCGAGTCGCCTCGTAAGCCGGTCTATATTTATATTTTTTCGAGGTGGGATTAGAATGTTTGAACTCGAAAAAAAACGAATCGAACAAACCAATTCATCACGAGCGGAACTCATTGCGAACCCATGAGTTATCCCAAGGGATAGAAAAAAATATTTTTTGTTTAATTTTTAATATTTTTAAATATTTAAATATCTTTTATATTAAAATTGGATTTCTAATTGGTATTTAATTTGTTTCATTTAATTTCCTTTTTTATTACATTTATAATATATTTTAATATTTAAATTTAAAATTTTAATTATTTATTTGGTTTGCGAGGTGACTCGTTTGTTTCGTAATTTAAGATGAATCGAACTGAACCAAATAATTTTGGCCTGATAAAAAACGGATCAGATTAAACTAAAAAAAAATTTACATCGGGATGGATTGGGTCGGGTTGGGCGAGCCAACTCGTTTTAAACCCTAGAGAGAGAGCATACATATGTGATTAAAAAAAATATCATTCAACTATAGTTTGTTTTTGCTTTTTTTTTTATAATATAGAAACCCAACTGCTATCCTTCAAATGTGTTGGGTAAAACCCCCTCCATATGTACAAGCTTTGTAACACATACGGGATGTGAGTCAGCCGTAACTGACGAGCCCAAAAAGTCAAATCCATACTATCTCGAATGAAAAGTCCTTGTTAACTCTTTGGGATTATGTAAATTCCACTCGATAGTTTTCCCTATATTTATATATATATATATATACACATAGATGTATCTATATATGTGCATATATATATATATACATACACACATACAAATATCTTGCTATTGTTTTCTACTGCCTATGTTAACTCCATTTTCCACGGGTCTACAAGCTTGGTTTCACAGAAGAAAAAAATAAGTTGCTAAGAGTATATATTTTATAGTATTCCATAATAATAAGACAAAATCTCGAGTTAATTTCCTTAATATATATTTATGCATGCTAAGCCTACACTATTTTATAACTATGTGTAGGTGTGAAGTGATAATTACAGTAGATCAACCAATATGATTACAATTAATTAGAGTATTTAATAAAATTTGGGCATTAAAATATGTCATCCTGTGATTAATTAGATTATCATACGGACGAGCGGTGGAAATCGGCCGTGCCCAAAAATATTATTATTTTAATCAAATGAGGTTATGATAGCAATAAATTTCAAAAGATAATACATTATCTTATTTTATTTAGACTTAATTTTAATTTCAGTTTTAATTTTTTTAGATATTTATATTTATATTACTTAATTGAAATTTTAACGTATCAATAGATTATTATAACTTTATTTTTTAAATGATATTTATTTATAAAAAATAAAATTTTCCAAAAATGTATAGAGAGATTCTACCTAAAATTTGTCTCCTTCCATACGGGAAAAAAGAAGGGGAAAAAACCAAAACAAGATTGGAGTAGAAAGTATCCGATTTTAAGTGACTTGATTAGAAAGCAAAAAATAAAATAAAGTTATAAGTTTTCCGAATATTTTAAATTTTTTTTTTGGTTATAAGATGCCAAGAATTTATTATACACTAAGTTGGGCAGATTGACTCGTCGAGTTGGGTATGTCACGTCGCACCCGTATCGGTTTTTTATAATGGTTGGGCTTTTCTTCAAAATCAAGTTACATTTCTCGCCCTTCGGGGCCAGGTCAGGTGGTAAGAAAGCAGGGTGAGCAACTCTGGTGGAGAGATCGAATCCCAACATCGTTCTTCCTTACCTTTGACCTGCTCGCCTGTCAGCCTGTCATAACAGGCTGATTTACATCTCACGCGTGTGTCGCAGGCTCGTGCGTCGTGGGCTTGGGACACTACAAAAAAACATTTATATAGCGACGGAAAAATCCGTCGCAAATATAAAAAAAATCCGTCGCAATTAAGAATTTGCGACGAAATGCGACGGATTTATTTCCGTCGGTATAGCGCTGTCGCAAACGTATAACGGTCGTTAATCCGTCGCATTTTTGCGACGGAAAAAATCTGCGTTTTGCGACGGAAAGTGATGGATAAATTGCGACGGAAAAAATTCCGTCGCATTCCGTCGCAAATGTTTTAAAAAATTTAAAAAAATATATAAAAAATTATATACTATATATACACATACATATATATATTTTCACATACACATACATTCATACACATACATTACACACATACATACATATATATACACATATTTTCATATACACAAACACACATACACATACATACATATATATACACATTTTCATATACACAAACACACATACACATTCACACATATACACATATATACACATACATAAATACTCATACACATATACATTTCACAAACACATACACATATATATTTCACAAACACATACACATACATATAAACACACACATATACACATATTCATATACACATACAATCACATATACATACACATACATATTCACATTCACATATATATACACATGCACATACATAAACACACACACATACACATTCACACATACATACACATTCACTTACACATATATAAACACACACATACACATATATATACACATTCACTTACACACACATACACATACATAAACACACACAAACACATCAAACACACATATATATACATAAATACATATATATTACCTTATGGGAGAAACTTGGCGATCTTTAGAGAGATTTAGAAAAAAATTGACGATTTTATTTTATTTTTTCCGAAAATCTTTGAACTCTGATGAGGAAGACGACTCGTGGTTTTATATTGTGTTTTGCGACGGAATTTTCCGTCGCAATCCGTCACAAAACAAAATTAATTTACGCGCCCAAAATTCAAAAAATTTCGTCGAAAAACAAAACCAAATACATTGGGACGGAAAATTCCGTCACAATCCGTCGCAATTTTTATTTTCCGTCGCAAATTATCTATTTCTTTGTTGTGACAAAATTATCTGTCGCAAACCGTAGCAAATTGCGACGGATTTTGCGACTGTTTGCGACGGATGATTTTTTTCCACATTTTGTCGTAAAATCGTCACATTCCGTCGCAATTTTCGGTGCGACGGAAATGTCCGTCGCAAATTTCGTCGCTATATGTAGGTTTTTTTGTAGTGGGATTTGACCCGCAGGCGCCTAAGCCCAACTACGGCCCGAGCGTTAGGCGCGCCTGGCACTACAAAAAAAATGCGAAATTCCAACGGATTTTTCCAACAAATTAATCCGTTGTAATTTTTCCAACGGATTTCCAACGGTATACCGTTGGAATAATTCCAACGCATTTCTAACGGATTTCCAACGGACGTCTAACGGATTCGTCCGTTAGAAATCCGTTGGAAATTTTCAACGGCATATCAACGGATATTTGAGTTGGAAATTTTCCACGTATATTCCAACGGATTTCCGTTGGAAATAACGTTCGACGAATTTCAACGGCAATCCGTTGAAATTATTCGAACGTTATGAAACGCGACAATAATTCCGACGGATATCCGTTGGAAATTTTCTCTATTTAAAGCACCCGGCCATAATTCGCCCAAACCACTCTCTAAATCACTCTTATACTATTCTTTTACCAAAAATTCTCCTAAAAATGATATCTTCAACAAATCCGAATATTCGTTCGTCCCAACAGTGGATATACGAAAGAGTTGATTCGATTACAAAAGAGGTAACACAAGAATTCATTAACGGTTTGGAACAGTTTATGAATTTTGCTTCTATGCAGCCGTTGTGTCAAGAACGTGGAAAAATGCTATGTCCATGTACAAGTTGTCGCAATTTTAAATATCGCAGTACAGAAGATGTTTGTAAACATCTATTTCGAAGGGGATTTGTCGAAGATTATTATATTTGGCGATTTCATGGAGAAGAAGTTCGGACAATCACAACGGGACAACATGTCTCGGCCGAGCAGAGGTATGATGTAGATGAAGATATAAGAAATCCTTATGTTGAAATGGTGACAGATGCTTTTCCTGGGGCGCCATTGGCTGAGCAAAACTTATCACAAGATCAGGAAGAGCCAAACGTCGAAACAAAACGGTTTTTCGACATGTTGGATATGGCAAATCATCCTATCTATGAAGGATGTAAAGAAGGTCAGTCACGTTTATCTCTTGCATCAAGATTGATAAGTATGAAAACGGATTACAATGACACCGAAAATTGCATGGATTCATTTTGTCAAACGTTGCGTGAATATTTACCTGAAAATAACGAAGCTCCAGAATCGTATTATGATACGAAGGCTATGTTGAAGAATTTGGGAATGCCTTATGAAAAGATTGATGTTTGCAAAAATGGTTGCATGCTGTACTGGGGTGAAGAAAAAGAATTGGTTATGTGTAAATTCTGTGGGACTAACAGATATCGTCCGAGTAAGAATGTACGGAGACAAACTCCGTATAAAAAGATGTTCTATATGCCGGTATCGTACAGATTGAAGCGTTTGTATGAATCACAACAAACGGCTTCGCATATGAGATGGCATGCCTCGCATTCTACCGTTGATGGAGAAATGCAACATCCATCAGATGCTTTGGCGTGGAAAAACTTCAACATGGTATTTCCTCAATTCGCTGCTGAGCCTAGGAATGTGTATCTATGTTTGTGTACTGATGGATTTAGTCCGTACGGACAGTCTGGCATGCAGTATTCATTATGGCCAGTTATACTTTCTCCGTACAACTTACCACCTGAGATGTGCATGAAAAGAGAATTTATGTTTTTGACATTGTTGATTCCTGGGCCAGAACATCCGAAGAAGAGTTTAGATGTGTATTTACAGCCGCTCATTAAGGAGTTGAAGGATTTGCTGGCCGATAATGTTCACCCGAGGATACACGTTTCACACTTACGATCATGGAAAACATAAATCCACGTTCAATTACGGAGTTTGTATAAAAAGCGGGTCATCGGAAGATCCTGATTTCTTTGGGGTTCTTCGTCAGATTTTCCAACTCCAGTATCCAGGATTAGTCGGGTTGAAAACAATCATATTCAGATGTGATTGGTTTGATACAACGTCGGGACGCGGCTCACGAAAAAATCGATGGGGAGGTATTGACATAAACCTGAAACGTTCATATGCAAAGTACGATCCTTTTATACTTTCAGATCAGGCAGACCAGGTATGCTTCATTCCATATCCGAAACATTCTGCGACATCGGTGAAACGGCGACGGGAAGATCAATGGTCGGCTGTTTTGAAGATTAACCCACGAAGATTAATTATCGTGGATTCGTCGTCGACAACACAAGATCTCGATGAGCCAATGCAAGAGCAACTCGAAGATCCGATTCTTCCCATCCGACTAGATGATGATTACGACGAGACACTTGCACTTCCTGACATAGACGACGAGTTACTTGATGATTCGTTACACGTACAAGACGATATAGACGAATTCGTTTCGGACCATGATACAACTCCGGATGATGAAAGTGATGAAGATTCTATATAGACTTATTTGTTTTTATTGTTTTCATATGTATTTGTATTTTGAAAAATCTATCATATTTTTTTGTATTTTTTTTAAAAAATTTTAAATTCCAACGGGCATCCGTTGGAATCGAATCGCAGAATTCGAATGATCACATATATTCCAACGGACATCCGTTGGAATCGAAGCGCAAAACAATAGTTAGTTATTAATACAAAACATAAATATTAAAGAATTGAACAAGAATTGAAAACCAATTACCATTTTATGATTTTTTTTTTGGTTGAGTTTTTTTTTTGGTCGTTTTTTTTTTGAGATTGGAGGAATGATGGAGAAGAATGGGGCCGCTCGCCCTTATATAATCGAAAATTCCAACGGATTTCCAACAGACATCCGTTGGAATTTTCTGGGCGCATTTAATGTTGTCTGATAAATTCCAACGGATGCCCGTTACATTCTTCATTTACAACGGGCATCCGTTGGAAAATCTGAAGCATTTAATCCGTTCGACGCACCTGGCGTTCATCGCGTCATTCCAGAATATTTCCAACGGATGCCCGTTGGAAATGAAGATTATAACGGGCATCCGTTGGAATTTATCAGACAACATTAAATGCGCCCAGAAAATTCCAACGGATGCCCGTTGGAAATCCGTTGGAATTTTCGATTATATAAGGGCGAGCGACCCCATTCTTCTCCATCATTCCTCCAACATCTCAAAAAAAAACGATCAAAAAAAAAAACTCAACCAAAAAAAAAATCATAAAATGGTAATTGGTTTTCAATTCTTGTTCAATTCTTTAATATTTATGTTTTGTATTAATAACTAACTATTGTTTTTTTACAGTTTCGTAGGCAATTTTCTGGTTCCGGAGGATTGTTAGCGGGTTCTTCTGGAGCACCGCCACCGCCGCCACCACCACCTTCTCGTCTTCCGGAACCGGTGGACGCTCCTCCACTTTTCCCAGAGTGTGATATAACTCTGGAGGAGGTAGAGAAAATTTTAAATTCCTTCGACACTCGCGAGGTCCCGCTAATCGATCCCAAACTAGACGGGGCGTTATGGTAATTAATTTATAAATTAAATTATTTCAATATTTATTTTAAATTATATTATTAGTTAATATTAATAAATTGTTATTATAATTAGGTTCGGGGTTAACGATAAAGATTTGAGGAAAAAATTTACAGCAATAATAACGTCAAATTTTCCTCAACTCTACTACTGTTGGACGGTGGTACCGGACAACATCAAACGTTCTTGGTGGCATTCGTTCATCGTAAGTTATATTTTTAAAATTTTATTTAAATAAAATAAATAATCACTAACTCTAATTTCTTTTAAAGCAATCTTTTCGGTGGAAAAAAAAGCACACCGATAAAGTTTACAAAGAGTTCAACCAGCTGGGTATGCAGCGGTTGAAACAAATGATGAACAATGCCAAACGTCGTCATCAGCTGCATGGACTGCCACCGGAATGGGCAACAAATGACTTGTACCAGCAGCTTCTTTCGCATTGGAACTCAGACCATTTCAAGAACAAGAGTTCCAAGGCGAAACAAAGTCGTCTGTCCCAAAAATTCGAGGGTGATGGGCCTCATCGTCATACCTCCGGTGCTAAATCATTCAAGAAGAGGCAAAAAGAGATGGTATTTACTTAAACTTTAATTTAATTTTTAATTAGTTTTTTAATACTAGATTTTTTATTATGTTAATAATATATATATAGGAGAAAGAAATGGGGAGAACGCCATCAATCGTAGAGTTGGTCGCTCGGACACACAAAAA